AGGAACGAATAGCAGATCGGTGTTGCATTTGATCTTTACCTCACCTGGTAGGCTGGATAATGAGCCCTGGGGTCGCAAATGACCCCCGTCGGCTGGTTGCCAATCTGGGTGCCAATCGTCAGGGACGGGGCTTGGCTTTTTTGGAGTCGCACGTCATGGGTTGCGCTAGCCGTGTCGTGTTTAGCAACAACGTCCGCTGAAGGGATGAACCGGTCCACTAGAGGCTGCACATCACTTTCCTGCGAGATGTCAAATACCACCCCAACATTTGCTCTGGTGCTCTGCCGTGTGTCTGCTTACGCATCGCACCCGCACTCTCTCTCACATCCACGTCGTCCTCGCTCCTCTCCTCGCCCACTCGGACCCAAATGCACTGCTGCGAGGATAAGGGTCATCTCAGTCTCCAGTGTACCTGCATGTACGGATACCGCCCTGCATGGCGGCTCTGTGAAGTACTGTGTAGGGAAGGTATCCACCGTTCACTAATTAGGTACGGCGTGCATCTCAAATCCCGCCGGGCTTAGCACCGCCATCTATCGACGACTGCACATCGCGGCTGTTTCAGGGACACTCGCTTCGATTCACACTGACGGAGTACAGATTGCCAAACAGACTTATGAATTAAATCTTTGCAAATTCTTCCGTCGTGGCATCCTCTGCTACCTTACTTCGTATGAACGCCCGCTGCGAATCGCACTCGCACGTCACAACTCGGGGACACCCACCCACGATGCCCTGTCTGCGCACAATGTCGAGGGAATTTTCGAGGGCGATCGACCTCGTCAAAAGAAACTTGACACACGTCTAATCACACTCAACGAACCTTGTTCCACGTCTTGGCGGCCGTTGGCACACGTGATCAAATTGAAATGCTCCCAAAAAGTCCCGACGCGACTCGTAGCTGTCCTCGTCAAAAGTGTGCCGTCGGCATCTCCAGGCGCAACTCTCACCTGCGAGAGCAATATCGAAGAAATTGGCCAAAGGACAGCCGCAGACAGCGACGGCAATCAATCACTGAAAGTGGACGAGGCGATAGAGTGGAGGTGGGAACCGCACGGAGGGCCCGTCCACAGCATCCCTGACGATCCATCATCCATCCACCCACGTCCGATGTTTGCGATGTGGGGGCCACAACTTTGTGTGTTCATCCATCAACCTGCTGCAGCCCAGTGCAGATTCAATCATCTTGTGAAAGGTGAATACTACTGAACAGAAAAGAAGGCCTGTCACTGGCTGCGTTTCCCCAGTGTCATGTCAGGGATCTCGCAAATTGGCCCTTGCGCCAGGATCCAAATCTCTCTCGCCCCCGTTGGAAAGTTTGTGTCGCACCTCTGAGTGGCTGGCCTGCCTGCTGGTCGAAGCCCCCCGGGCCCCTGCACTGACACCAGTGACCACTGACCACCACACTGAGAGACTGAGGTCAGCTTCCCTGCCTAAGGCCCCACCCAGTCTTGAAGCTTCCAAATTGTTTTGTCGACGATCCAATTCCACCCACGTCAACCCGTCGGCCACGTTTGCGACACAAGCTCATCAGCGGCTCAGAAACAACCCGGCAAGCGGCCGCCGCCATCGATAAACAACAGCGACAGTTTTACCTTGACTCCAGCCCCGTCGCTTCCCGCCAAACTCTACGCGAGAATCCGCCCTGTGGCCGTACCGACAACTGCAACTCTAAACACTTGGAATCATCCGCCTCGCAATCCACCCGCCATGCCTCGCGCCATCCGAGGTGAGCACCATAACGCCCGCCGCAGTCTGCCATGTGGTACCCGTATCCCACTTTGCTGACGTCCCGACTTTCACAGGAGTGCTCATCGAGTGCGACCCCTCCATCAAGTCCATCATCGTCAACATCGACGCTGCGAACCACGATTACATCATCGAGGATCTCGACGACCAGCACGTCGTCGTCAAGGAGAACATGGTCGCCGCGCTAAAGAGACAGCTGGACGATGTAGGTTCCACCATAGACGAGCAGTCCCCCACTTTACGATGCACATTGCTGCACATCAACACTTACTTGAGACAACTTGCTGACGACTTGCCTACAGAAATTGAAGGAGACGCAACAGCCCGACGAAAGTTCAGACTCTGATTGAGCATCTGCCGACGAGTCCGATTGCTTGAGCACGAGTTGGTTATATTATATCTTTCCGGAGATCCCCGTACTCTCTATATCTGCCTTCGTTGTTGCGTCGTACCGTCATGTGACCGTGGCTGTGTCAACGACCGCCATGACCCTCTACATGACGACGCCAACCTGGCACGGAGGCGTGACGACGCTCTATAATACATCAGGATGGGATGAAACTCCCTCAACATAGCGACTGTGCCTTCCCAAAGGCAGCTAGTGTCCCGGCGTTCTAGCAAGCATGCCATAAGAATCTACTGTGTTGAATAATCCGGCTTGCTTATGGTGGATTTTAGCAATTGCAAAGGGCGCAAGTGTGTTCTAGAGCTTGGCGAACGTGGGCTTGGTCTTGGTCAGTCCGGACATCATGGCAGTTTTGAAGTCGCATGATTGCAGCATGGCCGCGTTCCAGACGGTGGTGTATCGCAAACCTTGTGGCCTGGTCAGTAGACAACTCATCAAACGAGGATAGAAAAGAAGACGAATATAGAAAGAAAGATCCGGGACAGTGCTTACTCTCCGCAACCGAGTGATCCCTCGCGTGGTTCAGCAGCTCTTTGGTGCCCTGCACCGCCACCGGGCTCTTGCCGGCGATGAAGCCCGCCAGCTTGAGCCCCGCGTCGAGCGCGGCGGCCTTGTCCGCGTGCACCTGGCTGACGAAGCCTACCGCCAGCGCCTCCTCGCCGGAGAAGTCCCGGGCCGACAGGCAGACGTCCTTGACCCACGACGTGCTGCCCACGAGCTTGGGCAGGCGGCTCAGGGTGCCGAGGTCGGCCGCCAGCCCGATGTCGACCTCCTTCACGGAGAAGCGCGTGTTCCGTGCGCAGATGCGGACGTCGGCGCAGCATGAGATGTCAATTGCGATTCCGATGGAGATTCCGTGCAGGACGCAGATCACGGCTGTCGATTATGTTAGCTGTCTCTTCTCATTCTGTCATGGATTTGGCAACGGAAAATCGGACGGGATGGAAATAGTAGCGAATGAATGACAGGGGACTTTTTTCAACATACGCTTCTCGCATTTTTCTACCGCGTCAATGGCGGCTTGGAACTCGACAATGTGACGGCGCATCATGGTCGCGTACCGGGACGGGTCCATGTCCCCGCCGATGGCGCTGCCGAGGGTGCCCTCGCTGGCGGACTGGACGTCGAGGCCGGCCGAGAAGGCGCGGTCGCCGGCGCCGGAGAGGACGACGGCGCGGACGTCTGGGTCATGGCTGAGGCGGTTGAAGAGGGGGCCGAACTCGCGCCAGACGGGCTCCGAGAAGGCGTTGAGCTTCTTAGGGCGGTTGATCTCGACGTGGACGACGAAGGGGGACGGCGCGGTGACGAGGAAGTGTTCGTAGGTGTAGTCTTTGAATGTGGCGGCGGCCATTTTTGCTGGAGGAGGACGGGTGAGAGTGAGATTTGGTGGTGGCCTGTGATGGTGAGATGAGTTGGGTCCCGCGGGTGGAGAGAATGCGACGCGGTGTGAAGGTTTGCGAATATGCTTGGGGGCTGAGAGACTGCGAATGCGGCTCTTGGGCTGATAAATGCAGGGTTTGAATCTTGATGTTCAAAAGCAAAGTATGGATGACAGCTGTGGTTGCGAGTGCGATGAGGTTCGAGCTGACAACGCTGACCGAGTTGCCGAGGCATGTCGCAGGTTGTCGCCGACCGGAGCCCCGCCTGATCTGGGGTAACGTCGGCACGCCCCGGTGTGTCGTTAGAGAATTTGCTGCTGAAAACTCCACATCAGTGCAGAGTGATCTTCTCCTCGCTCACCTTCACTCTGTGCGGTCACAGCCACACAAAGATGTTGAATTCATTTTTGATTTTTGGCCGCCATTCACTTTGATCGAGTGCCGGGTCTTGGAAATTGTCGGCGATCTTCAGAACACACTATGAACCTCGAGTGAGGAAATCGAATGTCAGCCGATCTCAGGGGTTCTCATGCTGTTCCTTATCTCGTTGGGGTTCTCAAGTTGAGAGATCAGACTGGGCGAAACCAATGCCACGGATAAGTGTCCTCATAGCATATTCTCAGTTCGGCGAGTGAATCCAGAGTCATCATTTTTGGGGTTATTCCGAAGGACCAGATCTTACTCACCATCAGGTTATGGCCATCTACAGACGCTCATTTGCCTTGAAGTCAAGCTTGGCGAAGAATTCAAGACCATTCTCATGAGAGGGAGATGATCGATTATTTATCAGATTTCTTCATTATTTGTATTTGATCTATATGCGTTGTATGCACCTGCCATACTACGATGCTTCTCTCGCCATGTTCGAGTTGGGCCTGTTTCTCCTCACTTAGGGGCAAGAACTGTGAGTCACACGCCGGCGTACAAATGACTGTCTGCCGAAGTCCATCTCCAATGGGACACACCCGCATTGCTTTCAGATCGGGACAAGCTCAGGTGGTTACTGGCAGAATATTGCGGCGCCCTTCTTTAGCATGGCAAGGCTGTGGCTTCCCAGACAGATTGTGCTGCGGCCTGCACTTTCTTCAACAAGGGCCAAAATGTCATCGGTCCTTCCACATTCTAGGTCAGCATATTGAAGTACATGTCTTGATAGTCAGAGGGCAGGAGCGGGTTGGTTGGAAGCTTAGGCAGTTGCTGTCACTGCGGTAGAAGGAGCTGAGCAAGCAAGAGCGATTGCCTCGCGTGAACAGTGCTCGATGGTTCTAAGGAGGGTCTCCTTAACCATTTGCCGTTGTTTGAGAATGCTTGACCGTCAACTTCCCCAACAACATCTCCCCGACCTCCTCGATTCCTCGACTCCGGACCAGTTTCTCCTATTGCCAGGACCTCCTATATCCCTCCTGCCGGTATCTTTATCAGAACCACATTAGTTCAACCGTTGATGCATCTTTATTTCTAGGTCTATGCGCAAGGCCCAAAGGACTCGGTCCCTCACTCCTCCCACAGAGGTTCAGCGTCTGACCGACCCAAGTACTTTGGCCTACAAGGAATCCGTTCTTCGACGCTATAGCTCTGCCGAAAGGTTGGGTAAAAAGACACGAAACCAATCGTCTAGCTCAACCCCCACATCCTTCTTCAAATTCTGTTGCACGCCTCAGGCCGAACTGGCCTTGAAGCCCCAGCCTGTCGAGAAGAAGCCGGCGATGTTGTCAAACTTCTTCCACCCCACCAAGACAGCTGACCTCCACCCATCTCCCGAAGCGACTGGCGACTTTGACAACACCCCTTCTCCTAGTCTTCGCCCGTCGATGGCCGACATGTCTCTGAAAAAGCCGGAACAAGACGTCGATTCCGTTTCGTCTGCCCGGAGCGGTGTTTTCCGCCATGCGCTCCTCAAGACTAGCTCTGGGCGCCCAATGGTCGTTGACCGGGACTTGCCCGCACCTCCCGTCTTGAGCCAGCAAATCAACCCAGACGAGCCGCTCGAGAAGGTCGTCAAGGAAAAGACGCCCGAGGAAAAGGGGTACGAGCACAAAGCTACGGTATCACTTCCCTCCAGGAACTACTCTCAAGAAGGCACCTCGTCCGCGACCGAATCGGATTCCTCACATCCCAGAGAAAGGATTTGCGTTGATCCTGAGCTCCATCCCGATGAATCGCACATCAAAGCCCATCACCGAGGTCTTTTGAAGGGTGCTGACTTTTGCGACACTGGAGTGCCTGGCCAACCTGTGGCTCAGCTTCCCGAAGATGAAGGTGAAGATAACGATGAGTCAGATCCATCCAAGGAGTCGGAGCCAACGGTGATTCTTGCGCGTGTCAAACGCGCCATGACGGGTGACGACAATTGTCTCTCAACTGTCGAAATCACACTTCCTCCCAAAGTGGAGGGCCATAGTCGTGCTACGAAAGTTCGGCCGGCCTTCAACACACCCACCTTCCACTATCCAGTCGACCCGGCAAACCCAGGCAATCCTGTCAGTACCATCAGCCAACAGGCTTCGCTGGGTGTTTCCAAGGTGCGGCCGTTCGACTCGTCAAAGGAACACCAGGAATCCAAGATCGGCGTCATTGGATCACCCATATCGGATTAGGATTACGTTCAAGGAGGGCACACGAACATTCCCGTTTCGAAAGTTCGTTCAGTTGCCCAACCTCCTTTGTTGAACCGAACCCCAGGGCACCCACCGACCTCGAAAGTACAGCCATACACTAATCTCGCGCATGATGACCAGCAGGACAAGTACTTTGCCGATAGATCTGAAGCTTCTGCAGATGAAGAACCCCCGAAAAGCGACAGATCCCGAGCCCAGAGTGCCTCACGCTCCAGGGCCGGAACGCTTGACTACAAACGAACCGCTCAGTGGATTCGCGACCTCTTGAAGAACCCAGAGCGGCCTACAAGACTGACGGAGCTGCCTTCCAGGTCTCAACGGTCATCCTACATGCGACTGGAAGACTCACCGGAACCCAGCCCAATCTCCCGCAAATTGACTCGCAAGTCTACCCTACCACCTTCAAAGGTTGAGGCAGGCCTTTTCCAGAGGACTTTTGGGGAGCTGGAACGGCTTTTGCATGAAGCATTGACTTTGGCGTCGCAAGTCGCCGACCACGAAGAAGAAAGGTCCCCGTACTCGGGGCGATCTCCACATAATCTCTCTGACGATGTAGAGCCACAGACAAGGCCTCGCCGCCGCAGCCATGACTTCTCGGACGTTGACTTGGACAACAACAACAACAACAACAACAACAACAACAATAACAACCAGGAGATCCATTCGCTGGCCAAACGTGCAGCCACATACCCAAATATCGATCATCGGGCTCGAGAGCTCGTCGATGATCTGTACAGAAACATCTCTCTCACCCCACAGTCAGTTGATTTCGAGGAGGCTCTCGAAGCTCACAAAACCAAAAAGAATAAACGGCGGAAGAGCCGTCCACGCCAAGCTACCGCTGTACCAGAGCGGGTCTCGAGTCGAAAGAAAAGCCAGAAGAGCATAAACCGAACAGATTCGCAGCGACTTACAAGATTACGCGAACACTCAGACGTGTGTAGCATGGATAGGTCAGATGACTCCTCGTTTGTTGATTTTTCAGTTCAGCCCGAGACTCGGAATAGGAATGGAGGACCATCTCGTCCAAGAGCCAGTGCCAAGCATAATCCGCTCAAGTCTCGCAACACTGGCGGCGAGGCGAACTTCCCGGAGCGAGACATTGCCGGCCGTCCGTTACATAATCCTCGTGGCATCAGTCTCCGCGGCAAGTCACACGTCAGTCTACGTGGCGTTCAAGCCTTCAACTTGCCCAAGTCGAAGCGTCGTCAACCTATTGCTCGAGACTGGTCCCCTATTCGCAAGAGGGCCGTTGCAACGGTTGCGTGCATCAGCACCGCGCTCATCGGAGTGCTGCTTGGAATATACGCTGGTTTGGTCCCGTCGCTCCAATACTACATTTGGGATTCTGGCCATACTATCCTCAACGGCAATGTTGGCTGTTTCCTCGGTATGGCTCTTCCGACATTCTTCTGCTGGCCTCTCCCCCTTGTTCATGGAAGAAAGCCATACATCACATCCGGCTTGGTTTTATCCATGCCGCTGCTTTTCCCGCAGGCTGTGGCCGTGTACGCCCAAAGATTCGAGAATCTCACCGAATAGAGAACGGTGTTGCTTGCGCCTCGGTGCGTCATGGGAATGTGCCTTGGTTTTGCAAGCATGAACTTTCACTCCATATTGACGGACCTCTTCGGTGCATCTCTCATGAGCAGCAACCCTCATCAAGAAGTTGTCGACGATTACGACTCAAGGAGACACGGAGGTGGTATGGGAGTCTGGCTCGGCATCTGGACATGGTGTTTTATTGCCTCTCTCGGCTTTGGATTTTGGATCGGCGCCTGGGTCATTGATGATCTACAACCAGCCTGGGGCTTCTATCTCAGCGTGATCCTCATCGCTGTCGTGTTGTTGCTGAACACCCTATGCCCGGAAGTCCGCCGATCCGCATTTCGACGATCTGTTGTGGAAGTGAGAACAGGTACAGATGTCTCTCGAAGACTCGCACGAGGCGAAGTCATGATGCATCGTGTCAAAGATGGCCCGAAATGGTGGGGCCAGGAGATGTATCATGGAATCGCTCTTTCTCTTGAGATGCTTCGTCAACCTGGTTTCGCCGTCATCGCAGTCTACTCTGGCTGGATTTACGCACAAGTCGTTCTCATCATCGTTCTACTGGGTTCGTTGTCTTCAAGATTCTACAAAATGCGGTCGCCCTATGTCGGACTGATGGTAGCTGCCTTGGCTTTTGGTGCCATCGCAGCTATTCCGTTCCAAAAGGCCAGCTACTTCTCAAGAGCGAGACATACTCAAGTCAACACTAGCCGCATGACATTCGACAAACAAATAACGTGGACCTCTCATCTGCTCCGCCGGACCGTCTTCACCATTGGTCTTCCACTAGCAGGCATTGTTTACGCCGGAGTATCAGGAGGACCTCCTCTCCATCCAAGCGCGCCAGCTACTCTTGCGGCTGTCATTGGATTCTTATCATGCCTGGCGATATCAGAATGCAACGGAATCATCATGGAAACCTTTGATACTTCAGACCTGCAGCCTGGCATGACGGGTCGACCGCGCGGCAACTCAGACACTCAAAGAAAGAAGAATTACTCTGCCTTTCCACGTGTCACGGCGGGGTTCGCCATCTGTCACACTTTTGGCTTCGTGTTTGCCGCTGGAGCCACTGGACTCGGCAGCATGGCTCAAAGAACCCTTGGGCAAAGGGTATCTACTGGCGTTGTTGCTGGCATATTGTTGATTTTGACAGTACTCCTATTCCTCGTCCTCATTCGCTTCAAAGAAGTCACAATCATTCCCGAGTCCAAGACGGAGGAGATGGACAGGTGGACCACCGCTCGCAAAGAATCTCTCAAGCGTCGCGAGTCGATACCCGAAGAGCAGATCGATGAGAAAGCTCTGTTCGCAGAAGAAGAGCCATGGCGGCCTTTTATCGTGGGCAACCCAACCAGCAAAACTCGCCGAGTCAATGTTCTCGAGCTTGGAGGCATGTCTCGCTTCACAGAGATCAGAAAAAGAAACAGGCTCATTGACGCCAGCGCACATCTCAACAGGGCAGCTTTAGATGCTGGATTGGATGCACTCGACGATCAACTCAGCGACATCGTGAGTGACATTGTAAACGATGCCAAGGACATACTCAGGAGAGGTAGCCGGCGCAGCCAAGAAAGCCGGCGCTCGCGGCACCACCACAGAAGTACGAACAGCAACAGTGGCAGTCAATCATCAATCGAGATGGATGCCATTGATCGGAGACTCGAACCTAGTAAACGTCATCTTCGAGTGCCTGATGACGTTTACAATGAGCGAGAATGTCTCCGAGGTCAATCAGTAGAAGAGGAAGACGAGAGCTTGTTTGGACTGACGCGTGACGCGGATCATCGAGGGGACGGAGGACGCAATCTGAGACAAGAAAGACGCGATAGAAGAGGCCGCAACAAACGAGACTGAAAGGCGGCCGAAACATCACTTCGAGGCAGACTGTGGCAGGAATCCTAAAGAGTTTCAAAATAGAATTGGGTTAAGGAAAGGTTGGACTTGTGGTAGAGGTAGTGTACATGACATATTGGGAAGAGTTAGAATGCCAGATCCTTTTTCCGAAACCAACTCCATGAATGTTATGACTGCCTCTATACCCATCTCGTGTCTCTCCTCTTGCTTCGTATTAACGGGTTCTAAAGAGGGTAGGAAAAAAAGATGTAGCTAATTTTACAGACAGGTAAAGAAAAGCTGCGTGCGTGCGGAGTCTCGTAGAGAGTGGGTATAAATAGAAATCTTCGTCTTCGTAATGCATATAAAAAGGGGGTGAAATGAAAGCATCGTTTTTTTTAATCTTGTCCATCATCTTTACTGTACGTTCAAGAACAGATCATCGCCCCGTCTCGTGGGCGTCAGCTTGGGCTGCCAGGTCGGCGTCGCGGGCAGTCCGCCGCCGCCCCTGTTCTCATCTCCGCCGCCCGGGATGGGGGGCGCGGGGAAGAACTCATCGGGGGAGAAGAGCATGTCGCCTCCCGCACCCGGGCGGTAGGGTCGCCAGTTGGGGCTGTGTCGCGTGCCGCCGTTGGCGTTGTGCTGGAGGGGCGCGAGGGCGGCGGCGCGTTCTGTGCCGAGGCGCTTGGAGAGGAGGGAGGACGTCGTCGACAGGGGGGTCGCAACGGAGGCTGCCTCCGAGGCTGGGCGGAGGGGCGCGGTGAGGGTCTGGGTTGCGATGTGATGTGGCGACGGAGAGGGGGAGGCGGAAGGGCGGGCGGGGAGGGGCTGTTTAGGAGGCGGTGATTGCTGGGGTAGGTTCTGGAGGGATTGGCGTGAGGCTCGCTGTCGGAAGGACTGGCGGTTTGGTTGTTGCTGTTGCTGCTGCTGCTGCTGAGAGATGCGGCGGTGGCTTCGGGGCGGAGGTTGCGGGTGGTTCTGATGGGGAGGGACGGGAAGTGGACGGGGAGCGTCTCCCCAGAGAGCTTTGTAGACGGATGCTGATTGCGGTTCGACGTTGGGGGGCATCTGCTGCACCTGTGCCGTTTGTGCCTGGGGGTGGGCGTCGCCACGTTCGAGACGGGGGCGCTGGGGCTGGAGAGGGGGAGGGTAGAGAGGCTTCATCTGCGGAGGTCTAGAAGACTGGTCTCTCTCCGTGTCTGATGGGGGAGAGGGGGTGACGAGGCGGAGGGAGGGCGAGCCGGTGGCGATCCTGTTCGGATCTGCGCTGGGGCGCGGCCGGGCGATGGGCTTGCGAGGGACGTCGTAGCTTGCCATGTACGGTCCGCGGGCGTGCTGCTGCTGCTGTTGTTGCTGTAGCATGCCGAGCGTGGGGCTGGGTTGACCCGGTGGAAGGGCAGCGAACTGCCGTGTGGGAGGGGCAAGAAGCCGGAGGTTGTTGCCGGGCTTTGAGGACGTGCGGCCCGGAATCACGGGGTATGAGACTGGCGAGCGGCCTGTAGGGGACGTGTTTGAGGCTGGTGACTCAACGACGGGAGAGAGATTGCTTTGCTCCAAGATGGGATCGGGATCTGTTGCCGCGGATGAGGCGATTGTCGTCACTGACGCTTGAGAAACGTGGGAGTCGTGGCTGTCGGAGCGTTGGGGAGCCTTCACTTGCGGTGTAGCAGCGGTGGCTGAGGGAACCGGAACCGACGAAGCGACTGCAGGTGGTTGCTTAGACTTTGACGAGCTGCGGCGCCCGAGGGAATTGCTTCGACGGCGAGGGGGCTCTGGGTGGGAGAAGGACATGCTCGGCACGGGGTGAGAGGCGCCATTTGGCAGAGGAACGCCTGGTTGGAAAGTGGTGTTGGGGCGGGTGGTATTTTGGGAGTAGACGCTCGAGGAGCGAGACTGGTGCGGGGCAGAGAGGTTGGAGGGAACGATCTCTGCTGCAGGCAGAAGCACCGGCGCAGGAGGCATCGGCATCCGGGGAGCCGTGGGAGCGATTGGGCTCCCGGCTCCATGACCAATGCCCGCCTTCGAAGCTGTCGCCGCAAGCATGGCGGACTCTGCGTACGAGGGCTTTGACTTCGCTCCACCACCCGCGCTTGCACCCGAGGCATCGAGCTCGGCGAGCTGAGCCATATGAGTGGCGCTCTTGGGGTCGCCCAGCACCCAGTTGCCATTCTTGTCGGCAACATAGTACGTCGTCGCCGACTGCGGTGTTTTGCCGGTCGCCACTGACGGGGGGCGCCAGATATTGTTCGATCGCTGGGAGCGGGCTGATGTGACGGGTGCGGATGTGAGTGCGCCATCTTCCTCAAACTCGGTCATCGTGCTCTCGCGAGGGAGGTTGTAGTGCGTACGCGGCGGAGCCGTAAGCTTGGCTGTCCTCTCGTTTAGAATCTGGGAGTTTGTCTGCTGTGAAGGACCTTTTTGCTCCTGAGGCTGGGGAGGGGAAGAGGAATACAGGTCGATCTTGGGGATCTTGATGGACAGAACCGGCTTGGGGGATGATAGAGACGGCTTAGCGGGAAGGAGACGGGACGTCGGGCGTGCCTGTTGCTGTTGCGGCAACTTCGGCGTGCCTGTGCTCTGTGGTCTGGAGATGGCGAGGCCAATGGCCCCAGGCCACCAACTTGTACGGGCACTCGTGCGGGTACGAGCCGCCGGGGGCGGTTGAAGTGGCGGCGATGGCGATCGGGCATGGTGCAGGGGCGGGGAGATGTGAAAGATGTTCGCCGGTCCCTCTTGTGGATGGAACTCCCAGGAGTCCTTCTCACGCACGGGGAAGAAGCCAGTCTTGACATCTGGATAGTCTCTCCGGCGCTTGCGACGAGCAAGGCAGATCGCGAGGATCGCAATGCCCACGGCTGCTGCAATACCAACCGCTAGACCTGCCACCTGTGCCGTTCCGAGTCGCTCCGAGGAGCCTGAGTTGGATTCTTCGGCGCCGGGGACGGCAGTTACTGAAGCAAACTGAGTCGTTGTGGTTGCTGTGGTTGCTGGTGGCGGAGGCAGCGGTGTGGTGCTGGTGCTAGCAGTGGTGCTTGTGCTAGTCGTTGTCGAGCTCGTGGTGGAAATAACAGACGTGTTCGACCTTGTAATGGTAGAGAACGATGGGCTTGGTACAGAGACAGTGCCCGTTGCCGTGATCAGCGTTGTCGGGATGGAGGTCGTTGTGAGGTGCCTCGTCGTGGAAGTGGGATAGACCACCGCGGAAGTCGATGGTGCAGGGACTATGATGATGCCTGCCCCCGTTGATGGCAGAATCAACGTTGCAATGATGGCTGTATGCGTAGGAGTAACGGCCCCAGGCAGGTTCGAGCACATCAAGTAAGCTGCGTCAATTACAGTCTCTGATCAAAGTCAGCTGTTGTGTGTCATGCATGGAGAGACTTGAGACTGACGGGGTGAGTCGCTCTCACGACAAGAGCCGATGGCCTTCTCGGCGACGATACATTGAAAAGCACCCTCCCCGATCGTGAGCCCCGTGAACCCAACATTAGCGCAAAGGCATTCCAGCGTCGGCGCGCTACCGCAGGTAGTGAGGGCGTAATTGGCGCTCAGGTGAGAGCGGAAGCATTGACGGGCGCACGTCGGAATGAATCTTGTAATCTCGCTCGAGAGGTTGAAGGATGTGGCGGTGACGGTGACCGATAAAGTGAGTATGAGTGTCCATAGAAGCAGAGGCTTGAGGGCCATGGTATGGGAGAACATCTACAAGTTTTCGATGTCAGCGTCGTCACGTATTCATGATTGCAAATGTTGAATTACCTCGCTGAAGATCCCATCCTTCATACGGTCTACCGACAGCGAACTAAGTCTTGGTAAGTGTAAGTAAAGGCACCAAGGTAAAAAGTCTCTGTATCTTCTTGAATGTTTCGAAAAAGGTCGAGACCCAAAGGCTTGTGAGTGGCGGGAGAAGGAAAGTAGGTAGCGAACCTGTGATGTGAAAGAGCCTATTAAGTTATTACGAGACGGCCTGCATCTCTAGATGTAAAGTATTAGGCAAAGAAATAGAACACGACGCTGGAAGGTGAATGATCCGATAATTCCAAAAGAATAAGCTGCAGAAAGCTTCAGCCCCAAAGACGAGAAAAGAAAGAGGCTATTCCCTGCAATCGGACGAAATATGCAAAATGTAAAGACAAAGCTGAAAGGAAAAAAGCTAAAATCAGTGAGGGTGCCGTTGGGGGCTCAGCAGTGGGAATGCAACTCTTGATACATGGATGGAGACATCGTCAAGAAACAGAAAGAGGACGAGGACGAGGACGAGATGCAAGGAAGGGGGCAGGGAAGGTGGACACTCGTGCCTCTTCCGTCATCCATATGCCCGCCTATTCACGCTCTGTCGCTCAAGAGAGTATGGCTCCGCGTTTCCGCGCTTCCCTTAGTCTGACTTCATTCGACCACATCACAACCCAGGTTGCTGCCATAGTGGACGATGGGCTTAGCGAGTCCAGTGTACTGCCTCACCATGCCGCCGACCTGCATCTCGCAGGGTCGGTTCCGGTTCCTGCAGTCGCGCCCACAGCGGCCCGGACGAGCTTGCCACCTCGCGAGCCGCCTTTTCTAGATCTCAGCGAGAATGACGAAGGGCCAGACATCTCGGGGGCCACAGGTCTCCGTTTCGGGCGTCTGTGATAGATGCTGGTTGGTTGGGGGAAATAACGCTATTTTCGGGGTCCCCTCATCGCAGCGACCCGGATCCAAATTCTATGGGCAGTGTGGCGGTTTGGACCTGAGTGTAACCCATCTCGCATGCCAACATCCCAGGCGTTGGAAGGTTGGGTATCCAATGGGTTTGGAGATGCGGCCAAATGCATGCACAACGAGTGGCTGAGGGCCTCCCTGGCTGCCCACCCCAAATTTAGCCGCCGTTGTTTGTTAAGCGCGGAGGTCGAACAAGATGCGCATGGCGAACCGCCCGAGGGCCCGGCGCCAAAAAGGCGGCCGCATCACGTGATGTAGATCAGAGCACCAGGGGCCAATGAACGGTCAACTCGAGCCGAGAATCGGTGTTGAGCGTCAGGCCCAGCCGCTGGCCAGTTGTTTCTAGACTCCCTTCCCATCCTGCGACTGTCTCCTTTGTTTCGAAGTCGCTGACCATGAGATTTCACGGATGTGATTGAATATGCTCGCTCTGCAGTCTTCAAACGATGGTAACTCTTCATGCGCCGCTGGCGAATGCTGAGGCGGGGGACCGGGGGTCATCGTCGAGCTTGACACGCTTCTCCAACGCAGGCAGCCGCCCGAGGCGTGTGTGCTACGTCTCGTCTCTAGAAGTCACATATAGACTCCAATCTCTGCTCGGCGTCTTGTTCTTCTTACCATTAGCTTTTCCGCTTCTTATCGTGGGGTTTCATCTGAGCTGAACGCTCCCGTGGAGCTGCTGCAGGTAGTTGCCCCCAACGCACCCTACCTAGGCACCTAACACCGACTGTTCCGAGTCGACGCGGTGGAACTCGGATCGTACAGGATTCCGGCAACGACATAGACCGAGTTTTGCAAGTTAGCCGGGCGAAACTGACCTGGCGTGATTAGTCGATCCCGAGTGGCGTGCAAGTGAGCTATTTGTGTTCAGACTTTTCCATTGTTTTCCGTTGATGGTATCTTAATATCGTTGCCTCGTTCCAAAGCCTCGAGGCCTTTGTGCAAATCCACGTCGCATCTGAATGTAGCAACTCTGTGAAGTGGCCCTACATGGCCAACGCTTGGCTGCCAATCTGTCTCTCCGCCAATCTCGTCACGCCCATTTCCTCATTCACACCCGAATCGCCCGTCTGTCAAAGCTGGTACTAATTCTTGGCATCGGTGGCACTCGGGGCAAAAGCAGCCTTAGCTCTGTTGGACTTGATGACTCTCTGGACCTCCTCCTCCGTCGCATCCCAGTCCTCGGCATCCAGCTGAACAAGGTCGATCTGGTACAAGTCGGCGATGCTCTTGAGAGCGTAGAAGCTCTTCTTGTCGTAGACGAAGCTGATACTGACACCAATACGTCCGAAACGTCCAGTACGTCCGATACGGTGCAGGTAGGTCTCGGGGTCAGGCTCGGAGTCGCCGCGTCCCTTCATGGGAATGTCGTAGTTGATAACCATGGACACACTGGAAACGTCGATACCACGCGCCAGAACGTTCGTGGTGAGGAGAACTTTGGATACACCAGTCCTGAACTCCTCCAGCAAGCGGTCACGCTCAGGACCATCCTTGGCACCGTGAAGGGCCGACACGCGGTGTCCATCAGCCTCCATTCTGCGCTTGATCTCATCGGCACTCTCACGAGTCTGAGGCATGTTTAGCCGGCAAGTCCTTTACAAAAAATCGTGATAGAAAACATACCCTGACAAAGATGACGGAAGATCCGATGGTCATAAGACCGTAGAGCTTGACAAGGTACTCGTACTTATCCTGCTCACTAGGACAGTCAATGTACATCTGAGAGATACCCTTGACGGTAAGCTCGGTGTGCTTCAGACGGATCTGATCAGCCTTGGGCGCAAACTTCTCGGCAAAGCCCATAACCTTGTCCGGGAAGGTGGCAGAGAACAAGAGAATCTGAATGTCGCGGGGAAGCATGCTGAAGAATTATTAGCCCATGCACATTAACTGCAGGCGAGGGAGCACCTTACTTCTTGACGCGCAGGCACTGCTCGCCAAGGCCTTGCTGGTCAAGCATGTTGTCAGCCTCGTCAATAACGAGAAGCCTCAACTGAGAGATGTCCAGCTGGCGTCTGCGGATGATGTCCATGACAGTGCCAGGGGTTCCGACAATGACGTTGGCGCGAACGGCAGCGTTACGCTCCAGGGCGCCAGGGAGAGCGGCAGCGACTTTGAGACCTTCGCAGAACTGTCCGATGCTGCCGACGACTCCCTCGATCTGACGGGCAAGCTCACGACTAGGTGCGAGAATCAAGGCTTGAGGCTGCTCGGGCTTGGTGTAATCGACTCGCGACAGGGTGGTGACGACGAACGCAGCGGTCTTGCCGGTTCCGGATTGCGACTGTGCAATCATGTTACGGGGAGGGTTCGTGAGCATGAGAGGGAGAGCCTTCTCCTGAATCTTGGAAGGCTTCTGGTAGTTCAAGGCAAGCAAACCACGGTGAATCGGCTCGGGACTTTGCAACAGTCTGTCAGCATTTGGGGACTAAACTGCTCGAGGAGAATTACGTACAGTCCCATGTCGGCGAAGGTTTTAGCTGAGTAGAGGGTGCTGTTCTGGTCGGACTGAAGGTCACCCAGCTTGACATCGACATCGTAGGTGTTCTCGATAAGGCCAGAACCACCGAGAGCTTCGACAGTGCCATCGAGCTGGCCCTCCGCAGGCTTGCTCTCCGCAGGGGCGGCGGCCTCAGCAGGAGCGTCGGCAGGAGCATCGGCAGGGGGCTCGGTGATGCGACTTGCAAGGTCGGCCATGGTGATGGAGATGCGCGCGTAGTTCGGGAGGAGGATCTGCAAAAAAATCGTTCAGAAATCGCGAAAATGGAGAGCTGCGCGGCGTCGGGAGCTTACTGGCGAGGTCGGAAGGAAGAAGCGGTATGTTCGCCCGTCTGTACCCGCCGCGAAAAGAAGTTAGTTATTGGCAGAAGTGCGCAGGAGGAGCTTGCTGAAATTGCGGAAGGCGAACGGGGAAGAAGTTGGAAGGCTTACATGCGCGCAAGGGTCTTTCACTTTGTGTTGAGGGAAAGAACAAAAGGACAGGCCGGGATTTTTTTTTTCGGTTTGTTTTGGCGGCGAGTTGGAAGCTCCAGAAGATCGAATTTCTAGGAAGCTACGTCGTTGGTCTCTCCTGCCTGTGCCTGGGACGCAACCTGGAGAGACTAGGCCAATGGCGGGGCTACCGCGGGGCACTTTTCAAGCCTGAGACTTTAGGCATTCCTCAACTAGCTGCCAAGAGCTTCACAAGCAAGGTGCTACGGATACTTTGGGTGATATTTTAATCAACCTTCCCTTTCTGAATAAACATGCAAGAATACACTTATCAAGAAGACGAAGCAAGACTCGGCACCTCTCTCGAAAATATTGTTCATTTTGGACCAATCAATGTGCCCTGTAGAAATATGACAAGCACATGTCCTCCACCACTTCTCGTGTCACTGGGTGTTATTGCGGTGGCTGAGGTGCAAGGCTCACTCAGCCAACCTTGGGACATTGCCTTACCTAAGGTAACAAGAGGTCCTTAAGCTGAAGTTTGTTTAGGAACGGATGAGTTGAGCTGATGAAGGAGCTGCACCCTGCCAGAAGGTTCCACGTGACAGATGCCAATCCATAGTTTCCGCGGATAACGAGTCGCGATGCAATGACCCAGCGGCATCATGGCAATGGAGCTCCCTTGTTCGGGCGCCGTCTGTTTCATTACCACCCGACGTCATTCATGCAAGCCATAGCCATATTCATTATGCTGAAGAGTGCAAACAACAGCGGAAGGGAGTTATTCAAGGTCCGGCACGTGTGGCATAACAACCCCTCAGTAAGGTTGACTCTGGAGAACATGGAAGCCAACCTGAGACCCCTGCCTCCACGCTCAGGAGTCAGGCCTCAACGGCACCAATGGGTGGAGTTCCAGTGGCTGGCGGCCATTCCGCCACCCCACCACAGGCCTCTTCAGCGCGCACCTAGTGCACCGAGCAGCCAGAGAAACGCGCCAGTGAAGCAGCTCAGGTTCCAGTCTGCCTGAGAGGGAGCTGACGACGTCTCCGTCCGATGTCAATGCCCCAGGTTCCGACTTCCAGGGCAGCCCACCAAGCGTACCTAAGGAGGCAGGTAAGGTGATGGGCGAGGTACCTTCCAGCCCAGTCCTGCCCACCAGGTACATACGTAAGGTGCCTCACCTCGGATAAGGTAGGAAGGGTGGTACCTTACGTTGGGTACCTTACCTGAACCTGGTAGGCTGAGGCTACCTACCTTACCTGACGAGACATCTGCGACCTCTGCTGGCGCTCTTTGTCGCTTGGTGATGATCACGGCCTTTGCGACTATCCATCTCACACTCCAAGCCGCTCGCATTGCTCTACTATTGACATTGTACATACCCTTCGGGCGTCCTGCGCCTCGTGCTAGCATTCATCAACGGTTTCTGCCCAGTTTTCACCCAGTTTTAGCCGTTTCGGCGGGGAATACCTTATACTGTGATCCCCCCACTGCCCTTCTCTCTTCCTCGGGCCGCCGTCCGCATTGGCAGGCTGTCCTCTTTCCACCAGCCCTCGCTCCTTCGGAGGAATCCATCACGAGTCCTCTCCTGTTTCCGCCAACCCCCTCCCCCTCCCGACGGGCACCACATTCGAATTGATCTGATCCGCCGTTCCTCATCCTTTGCATGCGGTTTCAACAACATATCCTACGACAATGGCCGAGGTAGACGCCGCGCCGACGTTCGGCGCTGAGCTGAAGGTCCGTATTGCGCGCTGCGCCCCTCCGTTGCCCCTCAAACCGCTGACATGTCCTCTAGGATGGCTTCAAGCCCGCCAACGCCTGGGTCACCCACGGCATAGCATGGCTCGACGAGATTCAAGCGTTTTACCGCGAAAGAAGTGCGATCGAGAAGGAGTATGCTGCCAAACTCAATGCCCTGGCCAAGAAGTACTTTGAGAAGAAGAACAAGAAGTCGGCACCTCTAAGCGTTGGCGACACGCCGGCCATGACCCCCGGCTCTCTTGAGAGCGCCTCTTTGACGACCTGGTCTACCCAACTCACCACCCTCGAATCCCGAGCGGAAGAACACGACCGATACGCTAATAACCTCCTGTCGCAAGTGGCCGAGCCGCTTAAGTTTCTGGGTGGCCGCTTCGAAGAGCTGCGCAAGCGCCATGCCGAATATGCCGGCAAGTTGGAACACGAAAGGGACTCCCAATATGCCGATTTGCGCAAGACGAAAGCCAAATACGATTCTGCTTGCCAGGAGGTGGAAAGCAAGCGCAAAAAATCAGAGTCTGCCTTCGACAAGGCCAAAGCGCAGAGTGCGTATCAGCAGCAAATCCTCGACATGAACAATGTCAAGAACACCTACTTGATCGCAATCAACGTTACCAATAAGCAAAAGGAGCGCTACTACCATGAGTACGTCCCCGAGGTTATGGATAGTCTACAAGACCTCGCCGAGTTCCGTACCATCAAGCTGAATGGCCTCTGGACGGTGGCTTCGCAATTGGAGGCCGCGATGCTTGTGAGCAGCAAGGGGCTGATGGACAACTTGACAACGGAAATTTCCCGAAACCAGCCTCACCTCGACTCCATGATGTACATTCGCCACAACCTCGGTTCCTTCCAGGAGCCCCCGGACAAAGTCTTCGAGCCCAGCCCGGTGTGGCACGACGATGATAACATGGTTGTGGACGAGACGGCCAAGGTGTACCTGCGCAACGTTTTGAGTAAATCCAAGGCGCAACTAGGCGACCTGCGTAGAGAAGTTGACAAGAAGAGGCGCGAAGTCGAAGGTATCAAGCGCGTAAAGCAACGCATTAGGGAGGGCACCGAGAAAAAGGACGAGGTCTTGGTGGTCACGCAACTCTTCCTGCTGCAGGAGGATCTCCATGCTGTGGATAGAAAGAGGGTGACTGCGGAAGTCGAGACCTCGACCATTACATCGGCTGTCGGTGACGTTACGCTTGGCGCAAAGAACCACAACTTCAAGGCACAGACATTCAAGATCCCGACGAACTGCGATCTCTGCGGCGAGAGGATATGGGGTTTGTCTGCGAAAGGATTTGACTGCAGAGACTGCGGATACACTTGTCACAACAAGTGCGAGATGAAGGTCCCTGCAGACTGCCCAGGAGAGCAATCAAAGGACGAACGCAAAAAGCTCAAGGCCGAACGACAAGAAGCTGCCAACGCTCTATTGAAACCCAGCGCGTCTTCGCCGACGAATGCATCAGATTCGCCAACGTTAACCCGCTCGAACACGATGAACTCACTAAGCTCAGGATATGCGCAGAGTGCTCGTCGGTCAATAGCAGGTCCAGCCTCGCCAATAGACGAGGCACCCCCTGAACCGGCGACTCCTCGCCCGGCAGCTCCTGCATCAATCATAAGTTCCGGTGCAGCAAGGAAGAGGGTAATGGCTCCGCCGCCCGCCGCATATATCAGCGAGCTTCCCGGAAGCGCACCAACGAACGGATCCTCCGAGCAACAAAAGGGCAAGATGCTATACACATTCGAAGCTAGTGGGGACGGAGAGGTTTCTGTCGTAGAGGGTCGTGATGTGACGATGCTGGAACCGGATGGTAAGTTTCACTTCGTTTCGACTTGGCAACACCAGCTGACGTTTTCACAGATGGTACCGGTTGGACCAAGGTTCGCGCTGGCTACAAGGAAGGTATCGTGCCTTCGAGCTACGTCGATTGGGCGCCAGCGTCGCCCGTGGTCGCTCAGAACACCGGGGCTTCTGCACGACCCGATTCGACATACTCCAACTCGGGCTCTTCGATAGGAACGGCGACCAAGAAGAAGGGTCCCGCGGTGGCACCGAAACGCGGGGCCAAGAAGCTAAAGTACGTGGAGGCGTTGTACGAGTACACGGCGCAGAGCGAGCAAGAGCACAGTATGACAGAGGGTGAGAGATTTGTGCTCATCAAGCCCGACCCCGGCGACGGGTGGGCTGAAGTCGAAAAGGGAGGCGTCACGAAGAGCGTGCCCGCGAGTTACGTCCAGGCGGTCTAGGAGCACCACCGCGCAAGGGAGCAGAAGAAATACACGACGCCAGGTTCTGCGGCGGCACAGTCGCCTGCGACGGTAGCAAAGAACCTGGCACAGCGAAGCGCTCGTGGCACACCAGAAAGGGGGTTAGAGAAAGGCAAGGAGAATGCCCATTTCCAAGCTATAGAGGAGGAGCAGGTGACGAGTGTGCGACTGGTTAGACGGAACCAAAGTCAGAGAGAGCGACGCAAGTCGAAGCTGGAGGCGTCGCGCAGAGACCGCAGCAGCATTGGTTGAGGTGCATTCATACGAGTACATATAGTAAGTTCTCGCGAGGAGGGGAAAGAAAAAGCCGAGTCGTGCATCGGGTGGTGGCTTCTGTTTTTCTTGGAGAGTTTAGGCGTAGTAAAAGAAACCAAGCAAATCATTTTCACAGTGAAGCTTTAAGGGGTTTCCCGCTTTGTGCGATCCTTCCGCTTGGCATTTGCACGTACTTTTTTGCTCTCCACCTGTGAGAGTTTTGCCGTCAAGCATCAAGATGCGATGATGCATGAAAGTTTGTTTTGTTTGGAGGGGGGGGCGTTCATGTCAAGAGAATGTCAAAATCGAGGTTCCTGTCGCGAGAGGAATCCCGCTGCAGGGAACTGGGCTGGAAAATGGCAGCAGGTCCCGCGTTTGGATTGGATCGTGTGCCCTTTTCGGCATGGTTGCAGGGCCGCGCAGGTGGGAGGATCGCGGAGATCCAGCCGGCCTTCCCGCTGGCAGCCCCGACCTGACACCGCGACCTGTGGCCGACTGACTGGCTGCTGCCAGGCATGCCAGCGCCCGCGAGGGGAGGGCGACGGAAAAAAAAAAGGCACACGGACGCTTTGCGGGGGAGCTGCTTCCTTGGTGGGAGGAGGAGGAAGGTCTGGGCATCGAGAAGGATCCCGCACGAATGATTGACGATAGCCGAGAGCCGGGTACAAATCCTCAGTGTCGAAAGGATCATTCAACGTCTGAATATCGTCTTTCCAGATGTTGTCGCGAAGTGCGAAAGGTGGAAAACCAGGCGGACGAGGTGAACAGTTCCTGCATCTTACTTGAACACAGATTCATCAATTGTGCCAAGCAGCAGTAGCAAAAAAACCCCTCTGTAGGTGGTCAGCAATCCAGGATTTTTTTTCTTTCCCACTGAAGTCGGGCCAAGCACTGGCCAAGCGCCAATCAGATGACGAGGCCTAGACGGATAACCCCTGGATAAACGGCCTTTGGTGTGTGTGCCATTGTTCTGGTGCTGATTGAGGGGTGAGATGGGGGGTCGGGTCAAATCTGGGAAATTATGATGAGTTTTGGAGTAATGCAATTTCTTTGCGCTTTGCGATGTGCATGCATTTGCGATGGGGCCCTTCAGCGACTTTTCTTGCTTTTGAAGTCTTGGCGACATATTGGCATGAGGCCTGCTTGCATGTGCCAATACCATTTCTGTTTGATTTGGATCACTGAATCCAAACAAGAGATCGCTTCATGAAAGGGAGACGTGGACGAAACGGACCGAAATCTGAAAAGGCAGACTTCTTTGGTCGTTTATTTGCCTCCAGTCCGTTTAATATTGCCGCCCCGGTATGTTCTTTTTCTGGGCACACGCGCAGGCAAGAACCCAGGCGGGATGGCCGTCCTGGCAGCAATCTATTCGCCGTCAGCGCTCTCGACCGAATTGCACATGGTCGTCGGTCTGAAACGGGCATCTTGTATTGCGTAGGGAGTCGGAAGGTGGAACCACGAAGTCTTGGAGGCCTTGGAAGATGATGATTGGCGATCTGGATCGGACATTTATTTTCTTGGGAGCGAAGGATGATGGCGTATGTCCCTGTCGGTGGGAGTCCGACTCTCATTCAAATGAATAACGGGAGGCGGGACGAAGAAATCAAATGATCTTGTTTTCTGGATATTGTGCGAATATTTAGCAACAGCAAATGGTTGCGGACTTGCGCGCGCTGGTTCCCGTTCAAGGCTCTCAAACAGAGAGCTATCGAAGGGCCAAGTGGAGGAGGTCGGTGGCAGTGTTACGACGACTGCGCGGCAGACGACATTCCTGCGATCGCCGACGAAGCGAGGTCAATCTTGATAATGGGCATGTCGTTAGCTGCATATTGTGCTTTTCTTGGAGCTTTTCTGGGACCATTTTCGAGACTGGTTGGGCGCGCCTCAGCCAATTGCAGAAGAGGGCTCTCCGTTCTGGGACGGGTTTCTTGGGTTCGAGCTGCTGGATGTTGGACATGAGCATGAGACGGGGGTGGGAGGGTGTGGAGGCAACTGGAGGCCAGGCGGATGATGATAGCCCACTCGACAGGAGGACGTGCGTGCGTGTCCCATTGATCGCTGTGGCAGTGCATGGCCAGAGTCGTCCTCTGACTGGAGCCCGTGGGAGAGGACGGGGAATTACCTCCACTGCTGCACCTGCACTGCTGGGTCGTGTCTCTCTCTCTCTCTGTGTGTGTCTTTCGGCATGCGAAAAAAGGGGGAGGAGGGTACGGGGAACCGGCCCCGGTGGGCGTGGATTCCTCAGACCTCACCTCTTCTCACCTTGCTCACCGCAGTCTGGAACTCGCAAGACTGGCCGTTTGATGCGGTTGCTGGTGCCGGTACCGATGCTTGAGGTTGTTTGAATTGCGGTGGAGATGTGGGAAAGCACCTGCTGCAACTTTGAAAACAAACAAAAGTCCAGGAAAGCTACCTGGCGGCAGCGGCGAACGACGTGATGAGATGTGGGGAATTCGTGTTTTTTTCGGTCGTCAGCGCGTGTCAGTGGCCATGTCAGTAAGAGGCGCAGATAATCAACATGGCGATGAGGGTGATACGAGCACAACCAGGCAGAAAGACGTGCCTCAATTTTTGAAGGAGTCTCTTGTGTGCCACCATGTCCAGCGCTTGGCCCTGCGCCGAGGAGATCATGAAGCGTTTGCGTTGGATGCGAAACCGTCAAAGGAAGCCATGTTGCCATGAACTCCGGATACCAGTGCCGCAGTCGTAGGGCGACGGCAATAAGTGAAGCATTGAGGCGTCAGTTCGTCCTAGGGTGCCAGCCCAGGGCAATAGTCGCAACGGTGGAGGGTGCTTCCTCACACTCCCGTCCAAATAGAAGCAAGTGGCTGCCCTGATCTGACGCACTGGACTGGTGACTGGATACCTAGTGGGCAGAGGGCTTCAAGGGCTGGCAAGAGAAAGAAAGGCGACGACGACGACGACAGCTGTCTGTGCCCAGACGCGCCGGTGCAACGCGCCCAGGGACGGGTGGTCATGGATGCTGGACGACACACACGGAATTACATCACCAATAGTGAGCCTCCCGTGTTTACAAGAGATACGAGTTAATGCAGGCGTGGCTCTAGTCCCAAGGGCTGTCCAGGAAGCCGCCCGCGGACCAATCAGAGCGCCCATTGGCGAGCTCTACCATGTACTTTGGTCTGCCGGGTGGCCGACTGGCTCCATCCCACCCTCCCGTCCGATGTGACCACGCCCATCGCACGGTCTCCCGTCCACGCCTGCCGCGTCCCCTGATTTCGCAAATGTCGTCGAGGAACCACTGGGAATCGACTGGGAACCGGGTCCCAAGGCCCCGAGCAACAGCTGCCACTCAGCCAGTCATGGCTCGCCTGACAGCCAATTCATTCGCCTAGTGGATCTTCAGCGCCTCCTGTCTTCCGCCGCCGTGTCCACCGTCCACGTCTCCTGTCGGTCCTTCCTTGGCAAGGAAAGGGAAATCTGGGCCAGGGCAGCGCCGCTCGACCTGCTGGCAGGGTAGCAAAATTAGTACGTAGTATTTAGTATTTTTTCAGTTAGTATTAGTTTAGTATACTAAAGTACGGATTTTAGAATACTAATTTAGTATTAGTATACTTTAGTATTACTTTTGCTTTTTTTAGTATACTAAACTAATATTAATACTAACTAAGATACTAAAAATACTAAAGAGTTTTAAAATAATTCTTTATAAATTAACATTTATATATTTTATATAGTTTAAGGTTTTATATAACTAATTTTATACTTTTAAGTATTATATATATTTTATTTTATTTTATTTTAATATACTTAAATATTCTACTTTATTACTAAGTATTCTATAAATAGATCTACTAGTTTAAAAGAAGTCTAGTTTCTATTCTTATTTATTTTTACTTATTTTTATTTATTATTTTAGTATTTAAGTAATACTAAACTAAACTAAACTAAACTAATAATTACTTTAGAAATCTTATACTAAACTAATACTAACTAAGCCGACCCTATACTAAACTAATACTAACTAAGAGACCCCTATACTAAACTAAACTAGGCTAATTTGCCACCCTGCCTGCTGGGCCAATTGCTGGGCGATGAAGTCCGGGGTGCGAGGACCCTCAGCGCGATGCAAGGATGCGATCCAATCCAGCAAGAGCAAGGCAAGGGGGGGTGTCGTGAGCCTGAGGTCGGGTGTGGAGTGAGCGAGCCAGAAGATGTGGAAGGAGGAGGGAATTCGTTCGTAGTGTTCGTACCACCACCGTCGACCACGCCGTTTTTTAATTCACCCAGTCCCTCCTTCCCGGCCAGCCTCGACCTTTTCTCTCTTTCCTGCTCTTCATTCCCAATCCGACCTCTCGTTGCCGCCTTCCGGGTTTCGAGTGTGCTAACTCTCATCTTCCCCTTCGACCTCCATCTAAAAGTCAACTCCCTCGCTTTGGTTGACGCCCTTTTTTGCTACTCTTCGACAACCGACCAACCTTTTTAATCAACAACCCCGTTTTGGAACTTCCACGAACGTCGCTTTTTCTCCCGCTGAACCAACTCTCCGTCGCTCTTTCTCGCCTCCTTGGAACTTATTCGACCGTATCACCGCTTGCTTTTGAGAATACACTCAGTCAACAGTCAACATGAAGTCTGCCGCTGCCGTCGCCCTTGTGGCTGCTGTCGCCGTCTCGGCGAACCCCACCCCTACCACTCCCGAGAAGCCCATCAAGGCTCGCTCCCTCCCTACCGTCACTGCCTCTGGCAATGGTATGAATGACTTCACCTCTCCCCACCTTTGACCAGCTCCTAACACTATTCCAGCTTTCTGGGCCGGCAGCGACCGTTTCTACATCCGTGGTATTGACTACCAGCCCGGTGGTTCTTCTAAGAACATCGACCCCTTGGCCGATACCTCCATCTGCGGCCGTGACATTCCCGAGTTCAAGAAGCTTGGCGTCAACACCATCCGTGTCTACTCCGTCGACAACTCCAAGAACCACGATGAGTGCATGTCCCAGCTCGCCGACGCTGGCATCTACCTCGTTGCCGACGTCAACAACCCCCTGTACTCCATCAACAGAGCCGACCCCCACAAGTCTTACAACGCCGTCTACCTCCAGTCCGTCTTCGCCACTGTCGAGGAGTTCGCCAAGTACGACAACACCCTCGCCTTCTTCTCTGGTAACGAGGTTATCAACGATGCCGGCAACACCACCCTGACTGCCCCCTACGTCAAGGCCGTCACTCGTGACATGAAGAACTACATGGCCTCCCGCGGCCTCCGCCACGTCCCCGTCGGTTACTCTGCTGCCGATATCGCTGACAACCGCATGGAGACTGCCGAGTACTTCAACTGCGGTAGCGATGACGCCCGCTCTGACTTCTTCGCTTTCAACGACTACTCTTGGTGCAACACCAACTTCAAGGAGTCCGGCTGGGATGTCAAGGTCAAGAACTTCACCGACTATGGTCTCCCCATTTTGTAAGTGACTCTGTCACCCCGGCCCAAATCTAACTTCGCCGATGTCTACAATCAACTCTTGAAAACCTGGCTGACCAATATGACAGCCTTTCCGAGTACGGCTGCATCACCAACGGCCGTGACTTCGGTGAGATCGAGGCTCTCATGAGCGACGAGATGACCGGCGTCTACTCCGGAGGTCTCATGTACGAGTACTCCATGGAGGAGAACAACTACGGTATTGTCGAGATCGACGGCACCTCCGTCTCTGAGCTGTCCGAGTTCGCCAAGATGTCCACTGCCATGTCCAAGTACCCTGCTCCCACCGGTGCCGGCGGTGCTGTTTCCACCACCCACTCCGTTGCCTGCCCAACTGAGAACGCTGTCTGGTCCGTTGACCCCAGCAAGATCCCTACCATGCCTACTGGTGCTAGCAAGGTAAGTTGCGCATTCCCCTGTATCAATGTCTCTTGCTAACAAGGCCCTCCAGTACATGACCGCTGGTGCTGGTGACGGCCCTGGTCTGACCGGCGATGGCTCCCAGCAGGCCGGTGACTCTGCCTCCGATGGCGAGACTACCGGAGGAACTGCTTCCCCCACTGCCTCTGGTGCTGCCGCTACTGGTTCTTCCAACGCCGCCCCCGGCCTCACCTTCGGTGGCCACGTCGAGAAGGCCCCTCTCGTTATCAGCGGCCTGACCATCATGTTCACCCTGTTCGGTGCCATGGTACTGTAAGAGTTTTAGGCTTAGCCACATCAAAAAAAAAAAAAGTTACCCATTATTGGGATGTACAAACGATTTTGGGGGGGCACTTGCCCCGTTTCGCATGAGCATTAGAATTGGACGGCACCGCCGTAATTTCATTAGTTGTCAAGGAATGAGACCCAGGGTATTTGGGCGTCTCCGGCTTTATCGCAGTGAACAAACGGACAGGAACGGGAGAAACGTATCCTTCAACGCGGGCGCGTTATTTGTATGTACAGTTGTGCTACGGCCAACTATGATTTAATATGTTTGATCCATCGCCTCTGTTATCCAAGATGCCCCCGTGGTCTCATGATGCCTCTATATTCATACTCACTGATGCATGTATCCTTATCCGTTGACCTGCATCCGGAGTTGCTCACTGCCTACGGTTTCTGGGCATCGGGGCCGAGGTCCCCAAGCATTCACCCGAGAACAGAGCTCATCTCAAGTGCGGGACAAAACGTCGTCCGAACCCAGTACAGTTATCGCAAACCCTAACGTACCTGACGGAAGGATCGACGATTACCTGCATCTGCAAGATACAATCGTCTCGATGCGGGTCGAGACTCCCATCGAATCCTCTACTCGAAAGATTGTGTTATCAAAAGACAAGAGTCTTCGTTTGGCCCTGTTTGCAAACACAGCTGAAATCCCAACACTCCGACTGTCAGCCGTTGACAACGATTATTAAAGATATCATGCGAAGTGTACGAGGTTTTTCACTCTGTCAAGATGACGGCATCATTGGCCACCGACGTAGTTGCTTCTCGCTGTCACCGACTATTTCCGCCGTCGGCCTCCGTGGACGTGAGTCCCGTCTGCCTGGGCGGCGTGGATTTCGGGGACATATTTCCTTTTCGAAAACTCTTGGAAACAATCAAAGGAGAGCCTGAGAACTCGGCTTACTTGGTGAGGATCGGGGACGGGGGCACATATGACATTCACCTTTCTCTGGGGCTTCTCGACAAGAACACCAAGGCGGGGATTCCTTCAAATTCAGCGTTACCCAGAAACGAGTCTTGATTCTGCTTACTTCCGAGAAGCCTATCCTTCCAAGACATATTCAACGCAAGCCAGATTCATACCCATTTGGGATGATGCGTCCTCGGCGGACTTTTGTGAGGGTTGATAATTCCTACAGGCTGTACCTAGTCGGAATCCCCAAATATCTGCGTAAACACCGCATCCCCTGACCCCCTTTGGAATATCTCCTCCCCCGAGGAGTACATATGGAAACCTGAAATCAAAATCGTAACCCGTCTCAATCTTCTCCACGTCAACCTCCGTCTACTCCAGCCCAAGTGCTGTTTTCCTGAACTGGTAGAGGGCACAGGCCAAAGTGCACACATATAGTGTTTTGTCGCAGTCTTTTTGCGCGGGGGCTGCGTCGTAACTACAAACTCAACCCCAGCCCAAGAGCCTCAAGGTTCTCTCTCAAATGCTCAAACTTTCTTCCACCGAGGATAGGAAACGCATATGGCGCCTTGTGCATCACATACGTCATCTCAACGGTCGTCATCGGCGCCCCAATCCTCTCCGAAACCCTCTGCAACACCCCAGAAACACCCTCCTCCCTGCCCATCTCGACGTTCATTGTCCTGCCGCCAGAATCCTCACCTTTACCATCCCTCCTCTTGGGCTTGAAATAACTGCCCCACAAGAAATCCTGAGGTGCATTCCCGATCTCCTGGTCTCGACAAATGCCTACGACCGTCACTCCCCTTGCTCTCCCGCTAAGAACACCGCCAGTAGGTGCCCGTGAAAGCAGTCCATGGCTTCGAACGCGGTTTCCTTAGTGCAAGTCCCCAGCCTGTCCTTCCATACCTCCCCAAAGAGTTTTGCTACTCGGGCAGTGTTATTTGGCTATCCGGGCAGTGTTCACACACACGTAAATCCATAGCCTATTTCTGAAGCGACTATATTTTTCATTCTCAAATTTATCGTTATTGTTCTCTATTACTATTATCTATTATTATTATTATTATCATCGTCGTTATTATTATCGTCATTGTCATCGTCGTCGTTATCCTTATCACTACTTCTATCGTTCTCTCTATAGTCACGAATCATAGGGGACACTGCCCAGATAGCTAACTAACACTGCCCGACTAGCAAAAACGATGTAGATAGGGAGAAAGACTGGCTCTGGGATGCATTGCGTTGACAAACCGTTGCTCAAACTGATATCCCGCCGGCATGACCACATGGGCCGGAGTGCAAGTAACCGGTGGCATCACTTATCCAGAATGCCATATAATCTGATCAAACTTAGTAGTCCTTATAGGACATCTTTCTAGCGACTTAGGTATGAAATTTCTCTTGCGACAGTGAGAATGGGCGGGCTTGACTATGTAACATGTGCACTTCTTTATAGTACGGCAGTCAGCTACAAATCCGGGGGTTGCACCGAAGCAATATTCACGTATTAAATGATTGGTGGACAGACATGAGCAGGTTTTGGGGTCAATCAACTTCAAGCCAATACGCGACGAGGATCCCCGCTTGTTAGTTAAATCAGGCCATGGCTGTGAACACCTCCGCAATCCTGACTTCCTCGAACGGAAGACCGGTTGGATGTTTTTGTCCTTGTGCAGCACCGCGAACTTCAAATCTAGGAAGAGTATTGAACTGCCTAGCATGCCGTGTATCCGGCCCCGCCCCGGAGCAACCAATAGTTCTTGGCATGGCGTTGTCAAGACGGCGTTCCAATCTCCGCGAGATATTTTGGTGACATGTCTGTCAATTCACCTTGTCATTTCTAGGCGAAACTGTCTTCCCCCGTTCGCCCCGCCCCATGTTGCAAGTACAGGCATCCCAAAGTTAGTCGGGCCAGAACAGGGCGCATCCCGCCCCGAGTTACCCGTCCGCCCCTCGACTTTCAAACCTCTGCATCCGGGATATTTCATAAAGATGTCAACTTCCATTCAACCCATCACGATTTTCGAGTGGGCGGCAGTGTCAAGATGCGCCAGAAACAGGCGGCGCGGCGCTTGTGGCCTGTTCTTGTCGCTTCAGTGCTCGGGCTCATCGCATACCGAATCTTGTGCCCATCCAAGGTTGGCTTTGGAGGAGATGCCACGGGAAGCCCTCTAGACTACGCTGCTGAGTCTAGTCCTATGAGCAACCGAGCGCAGGATTTCGACAACCTTCATCTCACTGAGGAACAATGCCAGGAAACATTCCCGAGCTTGACGAAGGAGATAGACCTGGCCGTGGCCCAAGGCCCATTCCAGCTCAACGTTGACGACGCCTCCGCGTCCCTGTTGGGACAAATCAAGAACAACAAATTGCTCATTATAAGAGCTCCAAGACCAGTTGACATGTCTGACCAATGGAGAGAGGTCTGTATGCCGTGATGAAGATCCGAATTACTCGGGTTATGTGAATCATCACGACAAAGCAGTGGCTAATAACTCTCACAGCGACAAAGAGCCGCCCTTCACCAGATCCACCGAGCCATCCTCACTTCACCAACTCGACTTCCAGACACCGTTTTCAACCTCTACATCCAAGATACGCCCGTATCGAAGTCTTGGTCTCATAGCAGACCCGCCATTGCGTCGTCCCCAAGACACATCTTCCCCATCCCCCACTTTGCTTTTTGGGCCTGGAATCAACCGTTCATCCGGTCTATCACCCATGCTGCTGCCGCAACTACCGACATCGAAGCCGCCTTGCCGTTCCATAAGAAAGACCAGCGAGCCGTCTGGCGCGGGACGGCTTGGTTCAACAATGGTGCTAGCGCGAACCCAAGATCAAGGCAGGAGCTCTGGAAGATCGCCAAGGATGCGAGATGGGCTGATGTGCAGGCGTTGGAATGGACGAACCAGGGAGAGGACGCAACGAATGCCCTTAACATCGAAGACTTTTGCCGATACAAATACATCATCCACACCGAGGGGGTGTCGTACTCGGGCCGTCTCCAGTTTCATCAGCTTTGCGAGAGTGTCATTCTGAGCCCGCCTATCGAGTGGATGCAGCACACGACGCACCTCGTAAAGCCAGTGTACTCTAGTACGCTGCTCGGTTCTACAGAGGCCAACACCGTTGAAAGGGGAAAGTCACAAAAGCAGCAGCAGGGACGCTACCCATCAAAGAGAGCACAAGAAACGTGGCCGGCCACGTTTCGTCCGGAAGAGGCAAACATGGTCTTTGTCAACCCGGATTGGTCGGATTTGGAGGCGACGATCAGCTGGTTGGAAAACCACGCAGACGTAGCACATGGCATTGCAAAACGGCAGAGGGACTTGTTTGCTGGACGCGGATACTTGAGCCCGGCCGCGGAAGTCTGTTACTGGCGGGCGCTTATCCGAGGCTGGAGTCAAGTGGTACATGCTGATGAGGCCATATGGGAGAACAGCAAGGTGACGCCTTGGGAAGAGCTTAGTGTAAGAACTGAAAAGTTTCAGCAGAGGTCGTGATACTGTTTGCCAAGATGAATTCTTCGATAAAGCACCACTGTGCAACAGGGCGCAGGGCTTGACTTGACTGGGTCAAATCAAAGAACGATGGGCAACTGTATCACTGCTCTTGAGCATGTATCACTGTCAGTGCCAGGAAGACCCAACAACAAGGAGGCCGCAACATAAGGCTACCCAGGGAATCCTTCTCGGGATTCGACTTATCAATAACGGAATTGATGCCACCGGGATTGAATGTCTCTCCGTGCCGACGGGGAAGAGCAACCAACCTCGGGGAATGAAGAGACAGCGAGCCTTTGGAGTTTGGACTTATACCGACGGGTGTCGTTGGGGCCCGAGAACGAGAACCAAGACCTCGGCTTACCGGTTTGTTGGAAGCTCTGGGGCTCAATTCGTACAATATTCCGGGAATGACATGGAGCTGACATTGTCTGGGCCACGCACGCTTTGGATGCCTGCCGGCGACGTCCCATGCAAGATTGACGGAACACAGGGCTTTGAACAGTGGGGACTTGTGTCAATGTCAGGGGTGGTCCAACAGGGAGTTTGACATTGCGGTGGGAAACATTCGGATACCTGTTCCAACATCTCCATCTGCTCGGGATGGGACCTCAGGGATCAGAGTCCGAGGGCGTAGAGCCGAGTGGCCTGACTCCGTAGCTTGCTGATGGATGACATGTTACTGATGACTCGGAAAGAATATTTATTGTTTCGAGTTAGATAGTAAGGGCTAAGAAGAGAGAGAGAGAGAGAAAACATCCGAGCATCGCGAACGCAACCTTGCCTAAGGATGACGGGCCAAGAGGCCATGACAGGAGGAGTATCCCCGAGAAACAATGAATGGAGTAAATCTGATGCAGATCGCAAGATTCTTCTGGGCCGCTGCAAACAGATTCCAAAAACCAGGTACTGTGAGTGCTGTGGAGGAAGGGCTTTTGCACGAGGCCGTCACCGTCCGTTTGGCAAGGCCGACACCGGCCATGCGGACGATAGGACTGTGCGACGTCGTCTCATGCATCTCGACGAACAGAGCCGTGGAGTCTGGCTCGGCAAACTGCTGACAGCATGTTACTGGTGGTTGTGTAACAGAGCGAGTTTGTGACATATGAGCGCCATCATGCAATGCCTTCTCGAGACAACACGAACCGGGCCTCTGGGACGGGCAGGTCTTTTCCCGACGGAAGGGGAGTAGGACGGGTTTTTTTTTTGTTTTTTCTTGCAGGAACGACGGTGTCTCAACATCAAACGAATCACGGGGCTCCAAGAGAAAAGTGTGAGCGAGGCGAGTGAGACATCTGCAAAATGTTGGCGGCGGAGACAGAGAGACATGGTGTTGGTTGGAACATGGCCTGTGGGCATGCGGCTGTCTGTCACCAACGGGAACTTTTGCACCGGGACCGTCGTCTCCCCTCTTTCTCTGCCTCTCTCTTTTTTCTCTCAGGGCATTAATAGAAGGGCCCGAGAACCTGGGATGAGCATCTCTGCGGCGCAGCGCCCAGGCCCCAGGCAGCGGGCAGCCATTCAAGTGGCGAAGATGGGCAGTATGTGGCTGTTGGTGCACATCACATCACGTTTCCTGCATGCCCAGAACTGGCTTTCCGTCCAACCCGTCACACCGTTCTTTCGACGCTGGCGGCCGTCCTGTCACGGTCCAGACTCCCCCTTCAAATGATTCATGACTGCGAGCTTCTGGCAACACAACAACGCCGCAGATGTGATTGTAATTGTAATTGAATCCTTCGAGAGCCGGTACCAGAAGGCCTTCACCCGGAACGACCTTGTTTCTGGCAAAAAAAAGTCTGGGCTGGACGGACATTGCACAGGGCATGGATCAGCTGGCACAGAGCACCGTCGCCCGGCCGGAGCAGAGAGCTCTCTCAGAGCGGATGTTACCCCAACTCTCTCCACCGACAGGCCATGGCTGCTGGCTGGCTATGCGAATCATATCCTGTCATCCTATCAACGCTTTAGGCCTGACACCACTTCGCGCAGCATTTCCCACCGCAAGGGTGCCCGCATAGCTAACTGGGTCTTGGTGATATTTTGGTGTTGGACCCAAATTCACCGTCGTCTTCGCTTCCAAGGGCAAGGTGAGGGGGACCAACATGAGGGCTCGTTTACGCTTCTATTTCCCATCTCCTGTCAGATGTCAGATGGATCCTGGGATGGCATGTCGGTAGACCGCCGTCCTCTCGTTCCGGTTGGTGAACCCAGCGGCCGACGTGAGGAAACTATCTGTGAAATTTGGTCAGCAGTAGTCGGCAACTTTTCCTCATTGATCTGCGATCCACGTTCAACTCGGCGCAGGCTTGTTTTGTAGTTGTGGCACCTCTGCAAAGTCCCCTTGCTTTTTCTTGTTTTAATTCTGGGCCTTCAGTACCTCTGTACAGACAGGTTGTTGTTGGTTCTACTCTCACGCACTGATGCATGCTCCAGGCTAGGTCTACGTATCTCTTTTTGATTTTTGGTTCTTTTTTTTTTTTTTTTTTTTTTTTTTTTTTGGCCTCCTCCTCTTTTTGATGCAATTGATGCAGCAACAATCCACATTGGATGCGTCCTTCTTACCTTAGGCGGCTGCACGCAACTCCAAAGGGTGTTTAAGCCCCCTCCAATGCAGAGGCTCAATCTAGTTTCCAGCTCGCCCGTCGCTCCGGTCGAAACAGAGCTCACCTGCTATCCGCTATTTCTTCCACCCCTGTTGCTTGCTCTCGACAGCTGTACCCGGTAGCAAATCGGGGAGGAAGGCGACTGAGGGGCCTCATTTGTCAATTCCGCGCCAACGCGCAAGCCTGGGTTGCTCTTGGGGGGTTTGCTCTGTTTGGGTTCCAGTTCCAGCTCATCCACAGCCAAACAGAAGCCATACAGACGACGAAGAAGGGGGGACCCAAATCAAAGAAATCCAGGTCCCAGGGTCCAGGGTCCGCCCCCCAGGGTTGTGGAATCGTATCAGTCGACACCGAGTTCCAACACCAACAACAACAGAACCAACCTATTGGGTCCTCCCCCGTGTTTTCGTTCCCGCCTTTCCCGCCCTCGCGGATTCAGACCGACTCAGGCCGTCCCAGGTCTCCGGGTCGAGCACGAACACTCACACACCCAGACTCGCTCCCTCTGCTCTACTTAGTACACAAATGCCACGGCTCTCCCCTCCCTTTCCATTACCGACGCCCCAATCTCTCGTCTTAAACTTTGTGTGTCTCGGCCGGCGTTCAATTGGCGTGCTGCGAGGCCTTGAGTCGGATCGAGCCTCTTATCACCTTGATTCTGATCTGCGATCCCGAGGTCGTTCGATTCATTCCTCTCTGATGCCCGACCCCTCCGCCCCTAGTTAATCTTATTGTCTTAATAACCAAGGAGGTGAACATTCGCCGGGAACTCGACCTGTCAGGAGACAAATACGTACCGCGAGACAACATCAACGAGCTCATCCAAGGAAACTTTCTTTGTTCAACAGCCACCACGAGCAATTGCGATTCACTTCACGTTCTCCACTTGTTCGCTGAGGTCTTCGATGGCCCTGGACTTGACCGCAATCGTCCTATCCTTCCGAATCCGTCACCTCGACTCATAAAAACTGCCCCTTTTCTCATCAAGCTCGACCCCGTCGTCGTCACTCGACACTCTCCGAACTTTTTTTTTCTTCCCTCGGCTCAGGTCACGAGCTCAAGTCATGGCCACCAATTTCTACCCTCCAGGCGCCGTCAACGGTCGGCTCCACGGCTTCGAGTTCACCTTCGAGTCCACCCCCGACAAGACATCCCTGCACGATAGCTTTTTGGAGCCCGATGTACGTAGAAATCCTCCGCGCGCATGTGCGGCCCTGTTCATTTGATCTAAGTGTTCGTCCGATGTCACTAACAAGCTCATGTTCTTAGCCTGATCCTCAAGAGGGGTATGCCTGCCATTGAGAAGTCAATTCGCAAGCGCATGAGCTAATTCTGTAAACTAGGGAAACGGACTCTTTGCCGGATAGCGTGGAATGCTTTCCTCGTCACTTTGGCAGGACTTATCACGCTTACCAGGCCGGATGTAAGTCATATCGATCCGACCGTGCCAGGTTGAGAATACTCACATGAGTCGCAGCCTATGTATTTCCAAATGATGCGGCCGAGCAAGAGCGATTAGACCTTCAATCGCTTGCACTTACGGAATTATTCAATGGCAGACTGCATTTCGCCCCGATAAATGAGAAAAGCACACCCAGACGAATTCTCGATGTGGGCACAGGAACGGGAGCATGGGCGATGGATATGGGAGACAGCTACCCAGAAGCTCGCATTATTGGAGTAGACTTGTCGCCTATCCAAAGCAATGCTGTGCCACCAAACGTTCATTTTTATATTGAAGACGCGTAAGTGAGTCTGTTTCCTCTATGAGAAATTATCTAACTCCACACAGCTCCCAAGAGTGGGCATGGCCTGACCCCTTCGATTACATACACACACGCGTCCTCCTCGGTTCATTCGGCGATTTCAAAACTGAAGTTATTCAACAATCGTTCGACGCTCTACGCCCGGGTGGCTGGCTCGAGTCTCAAGACTTTAATGTCGAAGCGATCAGCGATGATGGAACTCTGTTGCCAGACAGCCCTCTAGCTCGCTGGGTATATGACATGAACCACGCAAGCGAGCTCATCGGACGGCCCTTGGCTAGGGCGCATCTGCTGAGGCAATGGTACGAAGAGGTTGGGTTCGTCGACGTGCATGAGCGTGTGTTCAAGATCCCATTGAATGGATGGGCTAAACACCCGAGACACAAGCATGTCGGCAAATTATGGGAACAAAACTTTCTTGATGGGTTGAGTGGCTTCAGCCTGGCTTTGTTTACGCAAGTTTTGGAGCGAAAACGGGCGGAAGTAGAGGTAAGCATTCCCTTAGACCGTTACTCTCCTACCATAAGCTGACCATATCTGCAGTTGTCTTTGGTGGGCGTACGAAAAGATATCAGCAACGTACAAATCCACGCTTACCAGCACGTTTGGGTTGTATGGGGCCGAAAGCCATATCCAGAGGAAATCGCTGCAGCCGGCCCCTCCGAGGGCAGCATGGCTGAATAACGATCAAATGACTTGACGATCTTTTTTCTAGATTTGTTTCCCATTTTTTCAGCCGCGAAAGTCATAGCGCGTTACAAGCAGCATTTAAATGACCAGGAGAGTACGGGAATTTCCCGAAAAAGGCGTCTGGGAGGCGTTCGCCTTAGGCGTACAATGTTTCAAGACGAATGCGAGCGGACGGTATAGATATTCCTGTATGATGATGACTACGACGAGTATTTCAGCACAGATACCATTTCTCAATTTTCATTTCTGCCATCTTGGTTCCCAGATTCAAACTTTGAGCAACATCCACTCCAACTGCATCGCCTTCTCTTCTCCGACGAGACTCAGGAGCTTGTCCTTCGTCAAGAAGTCATGATCGCAAAACTCGAACCCAGGCACGGCAAACTCAGTAATCAAGAGCCCCTCGCTCGCCTCCTTCTTGCCATCTTCGTTTGGCAAGATGAAGCTGGCCTTATAATCGCCTCCTTCAACGACCCACTGCAGCCTTTCCCCGGCGGCGATGTTCTTGCCGACGACGAAGCTCTCTATGTTGCCGTCTGCGTGGATGAGCACATATCGACCTCGTCCACTGTGAAGGGAATGCGTGATGCGGCAGCGGTTCCGGTGAAAGTGGCCTACAGGTGAGGACGGAGTAAGGTAATAGAAGATGTTGGATGATAGTGTGCGAAGAGTTGGGACGAAGCCGGGGCGGTCGAAGCCTCCGATCATGCCGAGGGTTATCGGGTTCGTGGGTGTTTGAGGGAACGTGGACGTTACGGTGGTCTTGTCCCGATCTGTTTCGGCGAAGAAGCCTCCTTCGAAGTGTCGCAAAAGGGAGAGGGATTTGATTGTTCTTTGGGTAGAGGACGGGTCGTTGGGGAGGGGAAGAGAGGATGGACTTAGAGCTTGGTCGATGATAGGAACAGAGCCCATCGTGCTGTTCCTGAGAATATGCGATGATTGAACGAGCTCTAGAAGTTCAGGTGAAAAGAGGTCGAAAATAGATCAAGACGGATCGATTCGAGGAGGATTCTTTTTAGCCACAGCTTGGTCTTTATCAACGGATGTCAACCTGAAGATAAGCTCAAGCTTATGACCAAGCCCTGCGAAACTACTCAGACTAGACAGAGAGGCGACTTATCGCATAGGTATGTACAAGACGCCCGCAAAGAGCGTCCGAAGTATCACACCAAACGGAACCCCTGAAAAGTCCCGACGGCCTGCTGAAGTTAGATAACCCGTCGCCCCCAGGGTAAACACATTTTTCTGATAGCTCGCGTTACTTAGTAAGTCCGTTGCGGTTTTTCATAGAATTAAAGAGACACGGGCAGGTCTAAGTGGCACCCCTAATCATCACAGAAAACCCATACTGTTCAGGTGCATCGCACCAGTGAGCCCAAACTGTCTGTGTGCAATCTGTGTGAAACCGCATAAAAGCTGTGAGGAGGATCCAGCGAAAGCATACCGCCAGTTCCAAAATTCCGGAAAGCTCGGGAAACACTTTGAAAACTTGACGTGGGATTGAGCAAGTGTTGATGTTGGAAATAGGTTCATAGACTCAGCCACACCGTTCTCACGTTGAGCTGACGTGTGGCTGGTGCGCCACATTTCTTATCGTTATCGCCGGCCAGTGAGCTACCCTCCGAATGACAGCATCCTCGAGCGTCAGAATTCGATCACGACGAACACCAATACCAGCCGCGAAACGACCCTCTCCTTCCTCCAGGACACCTAAACTGGGGCACACAATCGCGTAGACCGATTCTGAGGACTGATTCCAGCCGGCGCATGTCGCGCGCCCAACCATGTCATCCCTCCTCCGCGCCCTCCGACCACCAGCTTTCCGAGCAGCATGCCTTCGACCGCCACCCCCTCGGCCGCTCAATGGCACCTCTCCCATAAGCTCTCGTCTTGCGCAAATCAGATCAGACTCAGCGACGCCAATATATAGACAGACCCGACCCTTCTCCCAGACCCCGCGTGCTCCTCAAGACCCGCGCGACCCCCGCCGCCAAATAGACTACGACTATCTCCAACGACAGTACCACGAAAACCGCATACGAGCCGCCAAACCCCTGTGGTCAGGCAAAAGTGACGGCCGGATAGGCGTCTTCGAGCGATTCCGCCGCGCCGCGACGTCCCGGGGCACCGTAGGCACCGGCGTGATAGCCGGCTCCTTCCTCGCCGCCTGCCTCTTCTACTTCTACAACCTCCAGACGGTCCCTGTCTCGGGGCGCAAGCGCTTCAACATCTTCCCGGAAGACTACGTCAAAGATATTTCCGCCGAACAGGTCCGGCGCATCATCCACGAAGTCGAGTCGCAAGGCGGCCGTTTCCTGCCGTCATGGGATCCCCGCGCCAGGATGGTAAAACGGGTGATGGAGCGGCTGATACCTGTGTCCGGGATGGAGGATCTGCAATGGGAGATTCGCGTGATCGACGACCCGAGCACCATCAACGCGTTCGTCCTTCCCGGCGGTAAAGTGTTCGTTCACAGCGGCATCTTGCGCGTGACGAAGAACGAGGATGGTCTGGCCGCCGTGCTCGGCCACGAGATCGCGCACATTATCGCGGATCATGTAGGCGAGCGGATGAGCTCTCTAATTGGGCCCAACATCCTTCTGGGAGCGTTATTCAGTATCTGGCTTGCTACACCCCTGGCTCTGCCTATGGTCCATTACTTGGGCGGTGGATTAATCGATTTCATATTCACGCTGCCAATGGGCCGTTTGCAGGAGAGCGAAGCAGATTATATCGGCATGATGCTGATGGCAGAGGCGTGCTATGATCCCAGTGAAGCCATTGGTCTGTGGCAACGAATGGACCGTATGGCCAAGATGTATCGCCAGGACGAGATCCCCGAAATCCTGGGTACACACCCTTCGGTGCGTTATGGCCCCATTGTGTTTAATGTCTTTTGTATGGCTAACAGTGTTCCCGCAGAATGAGCATCGCATTCAGAAATGCACCGAGTGGCTGCCGAAAGCTCTTGAAAAGCGATCTGCTAGCGATTGCCAAGGAACTGCTAGCTTTGCGGGGCAGTTCAGGCGAGCCCTTGATTTGGGTAATCTGATCATTGAATTCTAGAGCATTTCCCTTTACCATACCCTATCATGGTAGGTGTTTGGCGTTGAGGGCATAGAACCGCGGAGACGATAGACGAGACCTTGGATTGGATGCAATCTCATGAAACTATGCGTCATTGTTATTGTCACAATCATATTATAGCCTAGTAAACTTTCATATATGAGATACCACAATACTTCAACTCATCTTCTAGATCGTTCCTTTCCACCGCATCGTTTCGAGCAACCTTGCATGCAAGCGAAACAGACTTGTCAGATACCCCGGCATCCTTGACAATGACATACCGCCGGGAACCGATTCCAACCATGGGAAAGAAAGAATTCCAGGCGCGTGAAAAAGTCTAGGTAGTCGCAAAGGTAGCGGAGCCTCGGATCTGGGCGCTGCTCCTCCCCCGGATCTCACGAGCTGAGAAATCGTCGCCTCGTGATTTGCTCCCGCATTCACCCCAGGCCACCAAGCGGTCCGGAGGCGGAGCTCCCCCAATCAGCGGACGAATGACGTCGTCCGACGACCCCTGTTCGCGCATAGATGAGCCGAGGTAAGTTGACTCGTGTACCGCTAGATGCAACACGCGCGCTGCTGGCTTGCTCTTTGCCGGTGCTTTGCAGGGCCGCCAGCCAACCCCCCCCCCAGTGGCCCGATACGCCAGGAAACGACACCGACAAACCCCCGACAACCTTGGCCCATCTCACCGTGTCTTTTTCCTTGCATCTTATCAACCTGCAACTCACCACCTCATCTTCAGCTTCGCATCTTTACAGCAACTACCTCCGCAAGCCTTCTCAGCGTCGTACGATATCTCGCTACTACATACACCGAACCGCGTCACCCCCCTCAAGTTCTCCCCAAACACAGCCGCCAACATGTCCAAGACCTTCACCACCGCCGAGGTTGCCCAGCACAAGACCGAGAAGGACATGTGGCTCATTGTCGAGGACGGCGTCTACGACATCACTGGTTAGTTCCTCTCTTCCTTATGCTGTAGAAGTTTCCCTCAGTCTTCCCAACATATTGACCATGTCTCGCAGCTTTCCAATCAGAGCACCCCGGTGGTGAGAAGATCCTCAAGCGCTTCGCCGGCAAGAACGCCACCAAGGTCTTCTGGAAGTACCACAACGAGAAGGTCCTCGAGAAGTACGGAGGCAAGCTCAAGATCGGCACCGTCGGCGAGAGCGCCAAGCTCTGAGACTCTCATCTCGCTATAGCCTGTCTTTGTTTCGGCATCATTTGCTCATGTATTTTTTTTTCCCAATCTCGTGACAAGAAGCGACTGTACTTGATGGATTCTGTGCTGGGACTTTGCTATTTTTTTTTTTAACGACCTTTGCATTGGGCTTTAGCGCTGTGAGACACGACTTTCTGGAACGGGCTCGGGGCAATGGATTCGCATCGAAAATGAGCCAACAAGCCCGGTGTCCGTTCGGTTGGCTGGTATCGTGGGGAGAAGCAACGGACGCCAAGCCCATGCAGGACAGTAAGATCTGTCTGGTCTAGGGGTTAACGTTAGGCGGACATCGGAGTCCGGGAGCCGGGGTGAGGCCATCGATGGCTCAGACGCTATCGGAGAAGTGGCCCAGGAGGCTGGAGTTCAGCGAGGATCACTGTTGTGCTTTGGCCGAAACAGTAGACAAACACTAGACGGCCCAGCTCTGCAACGGAATAGATGTCGAAGACCATGTGCAAGTCAATCCTTTGACCATCGGAGTGCAGGTTCGAAACGTTTAGTCATTAATATGTCTTGGCCCGTTAAACTATATGCAGCCGCTGCAAAGGGCAGTGGTGAGGTGAATATTATCGTGCAAACCCTGCCGCAGCGTTTCCAACCCTCGTGGAAGCAAAAGCGCGCGTACCCAGGTCCCGTTTGCCTTCCCATTCCAAGGGCAGTTCTGTCTAGATTTTATCATTGTCTGGATTCCGGTCTTTTCCTTCGTCCATCTCTATGGCATCCTCAATAAGCAAGATTGTCGTCCCCTCTAGTATCTTTTCTCCCCTTCCCAAGTCATAGAGGGTATAATGCAATTCGTCGTCGTGCGTTATACAAACGAAACAAAGAGAAAACTTCGGTGTGGCAGGCCACTCCTGCCAGTGCCATGCCGCCCTCAAGAGGCGGCAAGCTTCGTTCTTGAGTTGAAAAAAGAAAACTTCGTGAAAACTCATGATGTTCCTTGCAGCCGGATTAATAGCCGCCGATGAGAGAGTCGTCATATCTATCAGGGCTGCCGGTGCCGCTACCATTGGCACTATCGCTGCTCGAGAAGTAGCTCTGGTCGATGCGGAAGATCCAATCCATCTTGTCGCGCTCGCTGCGCCCGGCAAATAGCCATGTGTTGTCGGTACCGTAAATGGCGAATACGCCAGCTTGCAGTCGTTCACTCAGCCGTTGAAGGCCACCATTAGGTCCGGTCTGAGCGCCACCTGTGCCTGTGCCAGTCCAAATGCTGGAGATGACACGCCCTGAGGCTGTCCGACGGTGACTTGGCCGGAACTCCTCGACGCTCCCGTTGGCTTGCGAGCTTGTATCGTCGTCTTCACCCGACAAAAGGCCGATGACGCCAGGTTGGCTGTCGACGCGCGAGTTGCGGAGACTGACAATTGCCACCTCATCACCGTCAGTGACGGAGTGGATATGAAGGTAGGGTCGACGCAATTCCACAAATCTCTTGACCCATCTTGTTGAACTGCTGTTGGGTACCAGCAAGTAACCACCCTTGAGAACCTTGGGATTCTTTGGAACTCGGATGATCGTGGGAATCAACATTGGCGCGGCAGGTTCGGGTGCAGCGCCATCGGCTGGTGGATCAGTGTTGGCTGGGCTGAGAATCTGCAACAGAGGATCAGGGTACTTGTTCCACAGCTTGAGGCACCTCTCAACGAGGTACTTCTCCCGCTCTGGCATTTCTGGCTCCTTGGGTTCTTCAGGTTCCTGTACCGTCGCAGTCTCTGTCTCGGTCTCTGCATCTTGTTGTGGAGAGTCCTGATCATCTCCATTCAACAGGTCGTCCTCTGGGACTTGTGAACTCTCTGGGGTGTCGTTCAAGAGGTCGTCGTCGTCATGATCAAAAGTCGGCTGCGGAGGTATATCTTCTTCTTGAGGCTCCTCCGCGGGCTTCACCCTAGGCTCGGGGAGCCCAATCTTCTTAAGCAGTAGCTGCGCGGACCCGATTTCAGCGATACGCCTTCTCTTCTTACGAGAGAGAATAAAGTCGCTAACAAGAGAAACCCCGCGTGGTGTCCAAGTTGTGAGCTGCTCTTCGCCCTTCACATAGTCGTGTTGACTGCTCATTCTCCAAAGGTCGCCGATTCTCTTGATAGGCGCTGGACGCATCGAGAGAGTGAAGATGGCGCTGGTGGCGTGGACAAACCGAACACTTTGCCACAGTGCAGAGAACATGGACGTCTGCCTCACGTATGATCTGGACATGATTTGACAGCAAACGTGCATGGCGAACTTCATCGGCTCTGCAAACTTGCTGGAGCTAATCTCCCAGGCCACCGTCATCTGCACGCGATACTTGTCTGCGGTAACCCTGTCTAGCAGTAAGGAGTTGTGCAGACTTGAGTCCCACTGACCGGTCAGCGTGATGCTGCGCGTACCGTTTGCGTTGTCGCGGAAAGTAGGCTTGTTGGCAAGCTTGAGGGTAATTGCCGGGGATGTCGAGCCCATGTCTGGCGACTTTCCTGCCTGGTCCAAAAGTTGGATCTTGCCCACCCTGAGATTCATTGCATCATCCCAAGGCAGAGCATCGCCAGAGCTGTGCGTAATGTTGATGGCAATTCGGCGCTGCAATCCTTGGTGAAGGTGGAATGTGCCGCCGTCCATTTCGCTTGTCTGAGCGACTTCGACCGGAGCATACTCTCCTTCCTCGTTGAGCTCAAGGATCTGTATTCTTGCCAGCATGTCGTGTTTCTCTTCCGTGAAAAATTGGGACTCCGCAATGCGAGCGTTCTTGCCTTTGCCCCGAGAAAGGGGCACGGCATCTCTCATGTCGTCCCAACTCAACAGTTTATCCAAATGCATAGCCGAGACCTTGGCGAAGATGGCAGCTCTGAGAGTGACGGTCTGCGGGCTAAAAAGAGGGACGCTCATGCTGTGGACGCTCTCAAAACGAATCGGGCCTTCATCGAAATCCTTAATCATTTGAGTGGTCGTAATGCCGTCCTCCTCAGAGACTCCGGGGATGAACAGTTGAGCGTGCACCTCGGTACCTTCTCGCTCAGCGAAGCCGACCATTTCGTGCATAACGACGTTGAACTTGAGAGTGTTGGAAGGCGCTCTGGCGTGAGATGGCTCCAAGGAAAGCTTGATCATGCCAATGGCATGGGAGGTATGAGGAGACAGAACGTCCAAGGCAAAATCCTGGACTCTGCTTTGGAAGACTGCCTTCAATGGGACGTCAACCTCCCCAACCAGAGTGTACTGCGGCATGCAAGTCTCGACAAACGGATTGTCGAGGCTCAGATGTTGAGCATACTCAGGCTGATCGAGATATTGGTGCATTTGCCTCATCTGTCGAACACGGTCGTGAAGCTTTTCCAAACTCCAAAGGTGAACAACGCTGTTCTTGTAATCAATAACACGAACGCCAATGCACGGCTTCTGGGCTTCGTCAAGCGCAATATCGTCGCCTTCGCCAGTCAACCCATTCAGGACCATGTCATAAGAGGAACACAATGAGTGGCCGACGTCGATGACCGTAAACTGGAACACCACCCCTTCGTCCAGCTCGTTGCTCATAATTTGTGCCTCCTTGAGTGCAGAAGCATGCTGAAGGACCGCTTCGGCCATGCGCACGTAACGCCTGGTCCGCCAGTGCTTCACAACTTGTCGAGCAATCTCGAGCTCTTCGTCTGACAACTTGGGGTTCGCCTTTGGCCGCCTGAGTGGATCCATTTTCTCAAGCTTTTCCTCGAATTGTCGGCGCTGGACCTCAAGTTGTTGTTGCATATCTTCCTTGATAGTCTTCAGAGTCTCCTCCATGCGGACCTTTTCCTTCTTTATC